TTATTTTCTAACACATAAGTACACTGCTTGAATTCAGCGTCACCGTAGAAAGAGTCATCTAATCTTGACTTATTCTGTTAATTTATTAAACATGTAGTGACTTGTTTTAATTCACTTCTGAAAAAAATTAATAGAACAGCTTCCTTAAGGTGATCATATATGAAAACGTACTTTTTTTAAAAATATTTTATTTTGCTTGACATTTAACAAGTTCATGCTTTTAATACAATCTATCTTGAATTTTTTATTTGGCTTGCAGTTGTTCTATGTGGACAGCTTGATATAACATATGCAAATACTTAGATTGATGTTCAAACTGCAGAAATCAACATTAGTCTTTCTAATATAATTGGCAGTTACATTTTCATACTTGAAATACTTCCAGGTGAACTATTAAAGTATACATCCACATTTAGCTTCTCTAAAATTAATGATTAAAATCACCTACCTGGTATATAGTTTATTTTACCTCCAGAAATAAATGATTATTTTGATATCTGTCAAGACAATGTACAATTTCGTTGTTTTTATCTTTGATCACCTTTTCTCCGTTGAAAGGGAACATGAATTTTAATTTTCGTGAAATATTTTGAATGCATGGAAAAATTCATCATGAGCTGAAATCAGTTAGAGAACCAGTGGAAAACCTGGGACTACTGGACATCTGTTTCGTGCTAGTTAGGGACTCTTCAGCAACACGCATCCACCGCCAGGCTTCGAACCCAGGACCTTCTGGTTACAAGTCGAGCTCGTAGACCATTGAGCTACTGTGACTCGATGCAGTGGTCCTTGTATTCTAACTTCTGCCAATTCATGACACAGCGCAATCACTTCGTAATGTCTTATTCGATGAGTTACTGCCTCATCTTTGACCTGCTTTACCCTACTGGTCACGGCTTCCCACTAGAACCCAATGTCAATGCCTGAATAGAGCCGGTCGCTAGTGAGTATCAGATTAATTTGGCATAATTTAGATTTCAAGTATCATTGGACCGGGTCCCAGTGGCTCAGTGCTCTACGAGCTCGACTTGTAACCAGAAGGTCCTGGGTTCGAAGCCTGGCGGTGGACGCGTGTTGCTGAAGATTCCCTAACTAGCACGAAACAGATGTCCAGTAGTCCCAGGTTTTCCACTGGTTCTCTAACTGATTTCAGCTCATGATGAAATCATCCATGCAGACAAACACACAAAATCCTTACAAAACCAATACTTGAAAATATTTTAAACCTTACAAAAATCTTACATTCTTACATTTTCCTGACATAAATTCAAATACAAAGTGGTACTGAATTAAGGGTGAACCAATATGATAATTGAACTGCATTCACTTGAGTGAACTAACCAATATGAGAACTGGATGGAAAAAACATGTAAATTGTAGTGCTGTAGGCGAAGGGACTGTAAATCTACGTTCTGTTTTTGAGACATATAATTCTTTAGTTTGAATCTATGAAAATGTGTGCACGTGGGTAGATGGGTAGATTAAAATAAGAGAATGATGGCTTTTATTGCTTTCTGGTCTTCACTGGTCTCTTCAAGTAATATCAGATTGTTTTATAAATTATCTTCATATAAGTTACTGGTTTTCTATAAAAAAGAGAACAGTCTATTTGTGTCTAGCAGACTGTTGGACATTCTGGTCTACGAAAAAGAGAGGAGATTACTTAATCTCAAACCTTTAGTTTACATGGACTGCAGAATCTTAAATAACCGAATGGTGAATGGACCCGTTTTGGTCATCGACAACCGTGGGAAAGTAGCTCCTGATACTGCTTCACCACCGTGTGGATCAGATTTCTAGACAGAGGCTCGGGGGTGGCCCCTTAAGGCAGACACTTGTATCTGTTTGCACATCTGAGCAATATCTCAATCCTTGCACAAAATATGAGGTTTTGTGGGGCATATTTCTTGATGCCCATAATGTACCAGGTTCGTGTCTCAATAATAGAATAATAATTTCAAAGCATGACCACCAAAGTAATTGTTTCTACTGGTTTCTACACCTCGCTAATTTCTCCTCTAATTTCTCATTTCCAAGTACATAACTTCTATATCTGACTTGGCATTACAATGAGTCACTGAAGTTATTTTTATTATTATCACTTAGTTTTAAAAACAAAATTGTCGTAAATATAAATCTGAATTGCTTAAATCTATAACTGAATAAACCATTCCACTTTATATTACATATATATATTCTTTGTATTACAAATTTAGTGACTTCATTCTTGTATGAAATTAAAATCGGATTTAATATATTAAATAGGCGAGATTTTTATTGTGTACTGCTTGTTATTAAAGGTGATTCATCCATTTTTAGTGTAGTGTAAACTCCCTTGAAATACTTACCTACCTGCTTTCCTTAGTAATAAAAATATTTGTAAAAGTATTAATAATTGATCAGTTGGATGTTTAAAGATAGCGACTGAAATCTTGAATGACGGCAGTTATTGTTGTTTCCCAAAATTTGCACTCCCAATTGTTTACATATTTACATACACAACATTCAAATCACCATGGGCTTTTGTTTTCTGGGTTTCATTTTAAGTAAAATAGTTACTATTTGGTTGAAACTTAGTAACTATGTACGTTGGTGGCACAGTGGTTAGGACCCTCGCCGACCATGCACATGGTCCGAGGTTCGATCTCCGGCCGACTCACACCTGTTATCTATGGTCGGCCTGCAAAATTTGGGCTACCGATATCACATGCTGAAAATTCCATATTTGTACCAAAAATACAGTGTGGAATCAAGCTGTAATCAAAAATAATAAAAAATAAAAATTGTGTAAATTTGAACTGGTCCGTACTCTACCACACGTGCCAAAAGATCCAAGTTCTAAACAGGTCATCACTTTGATGCAGTACAAATGGAGGTATCCAGCTGTCATCTGCGTGGATCATACCTTACACTATGTTTATCATTACACCAACCATCCAGATAATACAGCATCCAACTAACGATACGGAGATAGTTGGTTTGAATTCCAACTCCAGCCTAGAGTTTGATTTCACCTGCAGACATTACGCAGTACATGAGTAACAGCCTACCAACTTCAGGTTATCTCAGATAATCTCACTTTTAATTTTATTAAAAAGACAGTGATTTTAATTTTATACGAACTTATCTATTTAATAGGTCATACAGGAAAGTGATATAATAAAAATAACAGTTTTATTCTAGCTTGAAAATCCCCGCTGAATCATATGAAAAATAGAAGACGTTCAGCGAAGAGACCCTTTTCGGTGAATTCCTTCACATAGCTGTACAATCGCATTTATACACAATTGTTTTGGTGTGTGTACATAAGGTTTGTCAAGTTTAGATAATTAATCAGGTAATACAAGAATGATCTAAAATGGAAACGAGGTTAATTAGACATCAACTAAAGTAAGATTGAGTTAGTAAACTAGGTGACGTAATATAATTGACTAAAATGTTTCAACTTAGGTCAGAGTAGCAACAGAGGTAATTACAGGTAGAGACTAAGTAGAAGTGGGGTAGAGAATGCCTAATGCCATTTAAATTAGGACTGAAATTGAGCAAATAAATTGGATGACGTAATATAAATGACTAGTACTTGAGCGTTGGTCAAGTCAGTAACAGTGGTATTGAAGTGTAGAAATTAAATCGTGTGGGGGTAGAGAATAGGAAAGCTGAAAATGTAAAATAGTACACTTGTAAAGACAAAATAATACTAATGAAGTGACCGAAGGAAATAGAATTTACCTGTCGGGTAATGAGGCATTGACATTCTAGACAATATGTTGACACAGCATAGAATTCGCAGCGTATTTAAATTGCAAAATATCTACTCTTCATACAGGATCTTCAAGTAAAATGCAAATGGTAGTACATTGTGTGATCCTATGTCTTTCCATTTGAAACAATATCCAAATCTCCACAATAATATTTCCTTATTTCTGTTTGAGAAGTACTCTGAATTACAGCAAAATAAAACTGTTTACGAGTTCATGTAGCTATTCAAAAACACAGTCAGATGATTAGAACAATGAGAGATGGAGAAGAGCTTATGCATTATACAGGATGGAAATGTAGGTAGCTCAGTGATTTAAACAGGCTGCAAGAAAGTGAGAAAAAAATTGTAATTTATTAACATACATGAGATGGAGGCCTACACATATCAATATATACGTCAGAGAAAAAGAGGAATCGTCCCAAGTAAAAATGGCAACTAAGGCGCATATTTTAGTTATTAATACCACTTAATTTCATGTTATCTGTTAAACAGTCAGCAGCAGAATAAAGTAGATGAGAAATAAAGATTATTCTCTTTCAGCTATGATCACAGATTCATAGAGTACTGGACAGCTGACGCTCACCAGGGACTGATTACAGGATTCAGCTGTCTGGAGTTTTAATAAGAAGTTGTAACTAGTGGGGTTCCCTAGGTCCAGTGGGGGGACAAATACTCATCTATGACACTGGCTGATGGTAGAGCCAAAAGTCACGAATGGTTAAGAGTTAAAATTCATGAGCCATTGCATTTTGTCCCAGTTACTGAATAGCCGGTGAGCTTACCTCGTAACCTTAGTTCGTTCCTTAGTTGGGTCATGGATGCGTACTGCTTGCCAGATAAGGACAAAATAATTGTTTAAAGTACCACAGTATTTAATTATTTTCTAATTATTCTCAGTCTGTGATCAAACTTGGAAACAGTCAAATCCACTTGAATGTTATGCTCTTCATTTAAATGCGTTTTTTTCTTATCAAGAGGATTGCATACAAGCTACAAAATGATATTTCATATATCTTTTGAATACAAGTTCTTATTGAGCAAATTAATAAACGTTTTAGTGGATAAATGTAAATATATGCAATAAAATGAAGTACAGTTCTTCTAAATTATAATAAGTGGTATCTGTTTTACGTAATCTGTAGATACGCTACTAGTAAAGATTATTATTATTATTACTACTGCTATTGTTATTACTTCTATTTTTTATCTTTGCAATCTTTTAAAACTGCGTACAAAACAGCTTGGAAATGATCAGCGAAAAATTGACACAGAGGGAGGAATTGGAAGTAGGCAATACGTTTATGATAAAAACGGTGAGTTCATTAAAAAAAGCGGTTAAAGTTAACTATTTTACCCAGTCTTTTTCAAAAGAAAACAATAAATTTTAATGAATAATCCATATATCATTCTTATCTGTATAATCGGTCACTTCAGTTTGACTGCTGCATGAAAATTAATAAGATGTTTAATAAAGTCCCTTGTACGAACTCTTTGACAATATCTGAAGGTTAACGTGATGCCATACTGTTTATGGTTAAGTTTGAAACAATGCATGTTCTTGATTCAAATTCCACTGGGAACATCATCACTTAATTAGGATGCAAGTAAAATCCATGTGGTGAGTTCCTAAGTCATAGGAAGTATGAATCCTGAGTTTCACTGCTGCCCACCATCAGTCAGATGATATTACAGGATTAATCACAAGGTGATATCACTTAGACAACTACTGGAAAACCTGAGAGTACTATACAGCTGTTTCGTCCTAGTTTAGAACTCCTCTTCAGTACGCACCAGCCAGAGTTTGAAGCCTGAGCCTTCTGAGTACAAGGCAAGCTTGTATACCATTCAGTCATTGGAACTGGATTCATCATCTTTTGAATAAGCTTTTAAAAATTATTTATACTAATTCTTACTATAGTCATAATACACTCATTTTAATTACGAATTTAAATAATCTTTTCTCCAAAATTAATTTTTTTATGAATCTGATATACTGTACACAAATAATTGAAAACGGAAGTATGCATGTAAATTGCTGGCTAAATAGTAATTATTCCAGATATCCAGTGGTAAGTGAGTTGATCCAAATATGTCGATGAGGAATGCATTGCATTTAGTCAAGCTATGTGAAATGTTAGTGTTGTGTACTTAAGTGAACTATCGTTTTTGTATGAGTTATTAGAATGGACGGGCAGAACATTTTTACCGACTGACTAGTGACATCTAACAAAATTTTGTCATACTAAACTGATCACATTAACTTCATAGACGTTTAACCATTAAACACAGTACATTTTATCTAGCTGGTATTCATATTAACAATGAGAATCAGTCATTTAATATCATACCAAAAGTAATGGTAAAATTATACCAACTGCTCATATTCTAGAATTCTATTAGACTATGGCTAAATATATTCTACTTATCCTTCTACTTATGGTTTAACTTCATCTCTATCAACTTTTCTAAGTGACCGACGAGCAGAAATTTATTCCATTCATTTATCCCATTAAAACAACTATAATATCTTTTACTTATATGAACTTGACCGTTTGATTCTTAAGTTACGAAAAATTGATTTTTATTCATTGTATTCTAACTTGTTGATTACTCTTCATCATAATACCTCAATGAATCATTTTGTTAAAGTTTAATATTGTTATTTTTCTGTTTATAAATATATTAGAATATATATCACTGAGATGTATTCATACCATCCATTGTACTCATGATGATTATAAAATTCACCACCTAACATTCAAGTATTGGTTTGTAGGGATATGATTGATTGGTTACAGGATTTCATCATAAGCTGACATTAGTTAGAGAACCATTGGAAAACCTGGGAGTACTGGACAAGTAGGGTGCAGCCGGTCATGTGTGAGGACAAATACTTGCCGAAGACATTGGCTAGTGGCTGCGCTATATTGTGAATTGGCAGAAGTTAGAATTCATGGGCCATTGGATCCGGCCCCAGTGGCTTAAGGGTCTACGAGCTCACCTTGTAACCAGAAGGTCCTGGGTTCAAACCCCGGTAGGTGCGTACTGATGAAGAGTCCCAAACTAGGACGAAACAGTCGGCTGTTTAGTACTCCCAAGTTTTCCAATGGTTCTCTAACTAATGTCAGCTCTGAATGAAATCATGTAACCAATCACCATCTAACAGTTTATTTTAGGCAGACGTGTTTAATGAGTTCATGTACGATCAAGATTTAAACTAACAAACACTTAAAAATCATGCAAAAGGGATTATCTGGTGTTAGATGGTTGAAAGCAACCGTTGTGAAGCCTTTAACCTATGTTTCGTGCTTGGTAGCACTCATCAGTAAGGTGTATCTTCAATCTTTGAGGAACTCATGCTACACTACAAACATATTACTGATAGAATTCAGTCTCCACTAAACCACAGGACCAGACACATGACATGAGTTACTACCTAGTAACCAATCAAAGCATACTGACCCTTTAGTGTTAAATGAAACTGTTACTTTTAAAGTGAGATACCTAGTCAGCCTAATCTACAAAAACAGTACCAATAAAGGAAATGTTTCTATACAAAGTGAAATCCTTAATCAAGATTTTTTGAAATATCTACCCTAGAGGAAAATGACTAGAAAAAAACAATATCTTCTCTACAATATACAGACCGACTGACACACCAACTACATCGTAACGATTATTGATGTTGTACAGACTGTTAATCGATAAACAATTGAATGTTTTATTTCAAAGTACATGTTTGAAGTACCTGAAAGAACTTGACATCTATCTCAAAAATATCTTATGTTTATTATAAACAGTTTCTGATGGCCACTTGAAGAAAAATTTACTGGAAGTACTTCTCGATGAGACTGCTGACTAAGTCCAGATTTGAGTAAATGTCTCTTTATAAGGTCCAAATCATTTGATACTTCTAAGCTGAGTATGATGTTTATTTTGCTGTCTGTTAATTTTTTTTGGTTTTCAAGGGTATCTACTGCTTTTGGTCCAGAGTAGTTAGTTCGTCTTCTAACCGTACTGTCAGGGTCGTCTGTAACCTTAGCGACAATTTAGGTAACACCCACTATATCCAACAAAAAGTGCTAAGGTGGGATACTACCTACACTTTACTGCCTTTTCGTAGGCACCAAAGCTCTTCGTACTTCAGGCGTTACTAATCATAAGGGTTCGTTTAAACACCTGCAGTCTCATCATCAGAAGTTTAGTGTACACCACATCTCGCAACAACGTTGTCACCAAGTAATAGAGATCAGCTTAAATCACCGGGCTACCTAATTACTTATTTACACGAAGATCCTGTATAAGGAGTAGATAAAGCTAAGCAGAAAGTTCTGTACCGCAAAAAATATGGCGTTCAGAATAAAGCTATTATTATTATTATCTAAATCTCAAAAGCTTTAGGCCTTCCTAGTTAGGGTGAACTTAAGGGAACAGCACTCTCTGTATACACACACACACACACAACGAGGTATTAATTTGCCTACGGACTCAGGCAGGTGAACATTGTGTAGTGTCACATACTGCAGTCATGACACGTCATGCTTTCCTGTGCGGGTAATAAGCAATCAGATCTGTCACACGTATCAAAATCAGCACTACATGATTTTTAACTTATCTAGTATCAATATAAGATAACAAGTATTTTATGTGTTGTAGGGTTAAAATGTATTGAGAACAGGGAAAATTTCACTCCTTTTTACTAACAAACATTTGCAACATATCTCTCTTTCAATGTTAAATTTCATCCTTCTCTAAAAATAATCATTGCATCACATGGTAAATTGAGTAGCATTCATAATTTCTTATGAAATTTATTCCGGTAGTTATGTTTACTAAGCAAAAAATAAGAACAATCAGTTGAACAGTAATTCTATTCACAAACTCACTCCTGTTTCTGCTAAGAAAAACCTGCGATACATATAGAAATAAGCTATTTGTATTTTTTCTGCTTAAAAGTGGTTTGATGTTATTAATAACTGTTTAAAAACGTCAAGTGTACAAATCTATAAGTGGTAACGAAAATATAGCATAATTATTTAATAAAAAAGATCAAATGGAATTATAAAGATTATGAAAACGTGTTTAAATTGTATAACTATAGAACTAGTCAACCAAGGATTTTCATAAACTTAAAATACTGACTGAACTTCATACTGCACCGTATAGACACTTACATAATTTGGTCCATTGGAGACACTGAAAAGCCAATCAGCAAATACATATATATATATATATGTATTATTATATATCAGCGTTGAGAGCTGAACAATTTCACCGAGTTACGTTTAGTAGACTGCGTCGGTGGCACAGTGGTGGAGTGCTCGCCAACCACGCATGTGGTTCGGGGTTCGATATCCGGCCGGTGCACTCCTTTACCACTCTAGGCGAGTAACAAGACTGGTAAAGACGGAAGGTTGGGTATGAGTTTAGCAATCTCATCGTGTAAAAATAGTCACCACTGCTGTAGAAACTCCGAGCCTCCAGCATGAAGTCCTATGTTCCACTGGGAACGTAAAGGGATAAAAAAACGTTTTGTAAAGAATTCTCATATTCTTATCGATAATAAAATCATAAGGGTTCTTCACTAAAGAATATTTTGTAACGCTGTTACTTCGATTATTGGGGATTAGAAATTCTTCAAGAGTAAAATGAACACCATCGAGTTATTACTTTGAAAGGAAGTTATTATCGGAAAGAATATACTGAACATTTTAGAGTCACATGAGTCCATGCGCATATATACACAAATGTATATAGCTATGCATTTATCTGAGGAATAGTTCTACCTTCTTTATTAAATAATTTTAATATTATACTGTGAATAAAGCTAGTTGTACTGGTCGTACAAAATGCAAACTTTTAAAACGCATCTCTAAATACTACATCGTATAGTTATGACGAGGATAATACGAGGCAATTACTAGCTCAATGCTTGATATCCCGAGGAACTGAAGCCATGCGGCTACACTAGAGTCATCTTTTGAAGTCATCCACATGCTAAGGTGGAATAATACAAGGGGAGTTAGATTTTAGCACATTTATATGGCATAGACTCCAGCTATTCGTCACTATGCCTCACAAACCCTGTGTGCAGAAAAAGTTTGTCCACTCTCGTATTCTACCGTGATTTTAAACTCTTTCCTACTGATTTCCTTCCATTTTTAGTAATTAACTCAATATAACCACCCTTATATGCCGTTTTTGTATGTTATATTGAGTTCTGTTTCTCACCTTCTTCACACTTGTCAAGTGGATACTCAAGTAACCTGATTTTCACTGAACAAAAACATTCACCTTATCGAATTCCAAACCTTTAGAATTCTACTGTGTCGTTGACTATTATAGAATTTTTTATCTTTAGAAACCACTCTATTACTGAATAAGCGACTGCTGTAAATTTCTTTAGTAAGTAGAAATACGATTTTAAAACCATTGAAGATGGCTTCATCGATAAACAAAAGTTTCTTCTGCAAATTTAAACTATCATAGCCAGAGTCTGTAAAAACCTGACCTTCAGTAGCCAGTCAGATTTACAGAACTCTGAGAAACGTCATTCCAGGTCAAATCTTACCTACCCTTATGGGCTTCACAAGGGCAGGTACAGTATCCCACTTATTCCCTTGGCACTTTTTTCTATAAATCGACATTATCAGGTAGGTTTAGTGTTTTTGGATGTAAGTTAAGATTAGGATTTAAGGTTAAGGGTAGGATTAGAGTTCCGGTTAAGTGAAAGAACAGTGTCAGGAATATCAATAGATCCCAGAGGACCATAATCTACAGTCACCTCGATGAATACACCCATCGTACATTATATGAATTCTCTATGGATTATCCTAGGAGTAACTGGGAGACATTAGTACAATACATTAGAGACAATTAAACACTGTGATGTCATGTTTGTTATATAGTTTAGCACACTTTTCTAGAGATTACGCTACTTTTTTGCATATGAATTCTAACTGGTTGTTCACGGCTAATATGTGTTTGGCTATGATAGTTTAACTTTGCCGTTTCTTAACTGAACTGTCTTTTATTTTCTACAAAAGAAACACATTTTGAAATGAATAAATCTAACGCTACAAAGCTATTTCATTAATTGATTCCAAAATAGCTTTGAATGATAAGTAGTATCCAGAATTCTGTTTCTCAGTATTCTTTATTGGTTCAAGTGTATACCAAAGATTTTCAGGAATACCAAAAAAGGACTGTGGAAATGAAGCCAACTTTTCTTTTCTTTTCGAAGAGATCATCAACTAGGCTGTTTAACAGATTGATATGCTATGGATAAGTACAAAGGTTAGTCTTTTGTGTTTAGCAATAGATAGCATCAAATCAGTCGGCTTAGTCTTACTGCTCACACACTCTCATATACTTTAAAATAACATAACCTTGAAAATTTCCACTTTAAATGTAAGTCAGGTTAGCATTACTCAAGTGCCTCGCGATATATATACCGATAATCCTTTTTACTCCTTCACTTTCCCAGTGAAACATAGGGCTTCAAGCTATAGGCTTGAAGTTTCGGTAGTAGTGGTATTAATCTTTACGGGATGAGGTTGCTAGCCTCATGCATAACCTTCCCTCTGCACCAGTCATATTACTGGCTTAGACAGGTGAAGAAGTGTGTCAGCCGGAAATCGAACCCTGAACCATGTGCGCGGTTGGCGAGCATTCTACCGCTATGCTACCGACGAACCATATGTACCGAGAATGAAATGTATAACTTTTTAGCCCACCTTCTTATACTTTTAGTACTTTTGTCTGCTTTTATCTTTTGATTTTAGACTTTAATGCAAATCAAAATCAGAATTCACATAATTCAACAAATTATACATCTGATGACAGTAGTCAATCAACTTGTTTCACTGTATCAATAATCTATTCAGATAAATCATCATTAAGTGATAGTAGTACAAAAGAGAAGAAGACGAAAAAGGGATGGTTTGGAAAGAAGACAAATAAGGAGCCAAAAATTAGTATGTCAACCTTTAATATTATCACTATTATTGTTTTAATATTAGAATTTAAAGCATATATTAAGCACTTCATTAATTATTTACTATTTTGCACCATAATTAACAGGATAGTATGCTAAGTATAGTCTGTCCTCAAATATAAAGAAATAAACAGAAGGGATGTAAAATCCCTAAAGTCGTTACATTGAAAATGCTTGGGGAACCACAGGTATGAAACAATCAGCTACCTCACTGACTTCGTATATCATTCATAAGACCTTGTATATGTTACCAACAGGTTAATTTAATGTGAGATAGCTGGAGGTGATTAGCAGGGAACTATGCACCTCGGTTTCATGCTTGTTAGCATTCTTCAACAAGGCGAACCTGTGCCAATCAGCACTGCACTGAGAGACGTTACCATCCTGCTATTCGGGATCTCTACTGAACTCATGCAGGATTCTAAAGGATACGCTAACTGGTTACTAGGTAGTAAGCACTGTCATGTGCTTAGTCCTTTGTGTTGCCACAGACTAAATTCTATCAGTCAGTATCAAGTCAGAAGAGGCACCCCATCATTTCCCCTGTCGATGGTCGTTGGTGTTTGTTGTTGTCAGTCGAGTATCTTCTCCTACCTTGCAAGCCTTGTCTGCCATAGAGTTTGTGTGATACAAAATATAAATCGTCATCGAAGCTCAGATCTTCTAGAATGTTTTTGTCAGTCTAATATATGCCTCTCTTCTCACTTCTCACTGTCTGTCGCATGATCGGTTCTATGACAACCAAGAAGATCGTAGGTGACAATAAGAAGCCTTATCTTAATCCTATCTTCACTTGAAAGGCTGCACTCAGCTTTCCGTCATGAACAGTGTAGTTACACTTTATCTGCCTGATACAAGACATTAGGTGAATGTTTTTAATTTTTTCAAGTTAATAAATAAACAGACAAACTCGAACCTCTTGAAGTATACAACGCTATTCATTATAATAGAGGTTTTTGTATTTCCCAATGAATGAAAAACAAAACGAGATTGTTTTTACTGACGTTTCGCTATTCAATGCTAATAGCTTTCTCAAAGTATTATTAAACCGGAATTTACAAATCTCAGCATATATATAACAAAGAATTAGGGGGTGAGAAAAATATAGACTTAATTCAACTTAAAAGGACATATTGAAAGTCAAAATAACAATGAAGAATCACAATCTTCTCGTCAAAAGATATCACACATATTAATGACACAACGAAACATACCATCTAATCTCACCAAACAAGAATATGAAGCCTTAAGAAATTTGAAGAAAGACAAAAGCATCGTCATAACGAAAGCCGACAAGGGGAACGTCACTGTGATAATGAACAGAACGGATTATGAAAAGAAGGCGATTGAACACCTATCTGAAGGACCATACTTACTCATTGAAGAGAAGAAGAAATCCGCCGAATTCAACAAAATGAAACTAAATACAAACAGACTACTTCAAGAAATGAAACCCAAAATTGGAAATTCGCTCTGGTTTACACTAAAACCAAAATCTTATATACCTTCAAGATTCTACGGTCAACCAAAGATACATAAACCCACAGTTCCATTAAGACCAGTAATAGATTTCACCAACTCACCAACATACAACCTTTCTAAATACTTACTCTCGATACTACAACCACTACAAAAGGACACTCAAAATATTGTAAAAAATTCATATGATTTCAAATCCCAAATAGAACACCGAGAAATTGATAAAGAAGACATTATGGTAAGCTATGATATTAACTCACTATATACTAGCATCCCTATTACCGAAAGTCTTGATATCATTTCCAGTCTACTAGAATCAGATACAACACTATCACAAAGATGTCCACTAGACACCAGCGAAATAATTAAGAGCTTAAAATTCTGTCTAGAAAGTAATTATTTTACATTTAAAGGGAGTTTATATAGACAGACAAATGGTGTTGCTATGGGTTCACCAGTCTCCCCAATAGTCGCCGATCTTTACATGAATAAATTCGAAAATAATATCTTTTCAAGCATACTCACTCCTAAAATATGGTTAAGATATGTGGATGATACTTTTTTAGTACTAAAACGAGATCTACACAATTCATTCCTGGAGAAAATAAACTGTGTATCTCCCAAAATCCAGTTCACTTCGGAAGCAGAATCAGACATCGGTGAACTTCCATTTCTAGACTGCCTAGTTAAGAGAAAGGAAAACGGACATTTTAGTATATCCATATTCAGGAAGAAAACCCACTCCAATAAATATTTAGACTTCAAATCATCACACCCCATCAGCGCAAAGATTTCAGTTGTTTCAAGTCTTCTTAGACGAGCACACTCCCTGATAACGGATGAGCAAGAAAAAGAAGAAGAAATATCAAACATCACTGAAACTCTCAAGCAAAACAACTACCCAAGGAACTTCATCAACAAAATCAACACAGACATTAAGTATGGCCGAAAATGCATTCCGAAAACATGGACTTCAACAGTCGTCATTCCATATAGAGCAGAGACGTCAGACGATATCAGAAGAGTACTCAATCAGCTCGACATTAGAGTTTTCTTCAAAACATCGGACACACTTCAAAACAACCTTGTCCATATAAAAGACCAAATCCCGAAAGATTCTCTATCTAATTGTGTCTATAAAATAAAATGCTCGGAATGTGATGCGATCTACATCGGACAAACATCTCGAGAAATCAAAATCAGAAGAAATGAACACCGTAGAGCTTCTCTTCGACCACCAAGAAATCCAGTTGAACTAGAAAAACTTCAAAAATCATCAGCCATAGGTCTACATGCTATAGAATCAGGCCACAAAATTGATTTTGACAATATTGAAATAATCCAGAAAAACTTCAGAAACCACAAAGAACGTCTAATATCAGAAGCACTTCATATCAAGTGGAATCCAAATTGCCTGAATAGGAATGATGGACTGAAACAGAATCTGACCTGGCTACAACACCCTCACCCATGAAGTAACAAAATCAACGCAAATGTGATGAGCAAATTCACTATGTAAACACACACTACTACACACTGATAAAATCCAACAATCTACACTTGATTTTGTTATCTTTACCCATTCGCCAACTTGACAACAAAAAAACGACCCAGACTGATTCTCCAACTTGACAACCAAATGATCCCAGACTAACGAACGATGATCAAGTTAGTAAACTTTATTTTGATATAATAACAGATATACTATTACCTTCGATATTTGGTTTGAACGATCTTCATTGTTATTTTGACTTTCAATATGTCCTTTTAAGTTGAACTAAGTCTATATTTTTCTCACCCCCTAACTCTTTGTTATATATATGCTGAGATTTGTAAATTCCGGTTTAATAATACTTTGAGAAAGCTATTAGCATTAAATAGCGAAACGTCAGTAAAAACAATCTCGTTTTGTTTTTCATTCATTGGGAAATACAAAAACCTCTATTATAATGAATATCATATACCCAATGCCCAAATTTTTTCAAACCGTTAAAAGTGAACTTGGTTTGGACATATATATACAACGCTATCCCAATCAAATACTTATAACCTGATTTGCGTATCTGAAAGAGACATAGTAAGTCTCATCCTACTCTTATAGCTTGTTTTCTGACTTTCTATTGTCTTTTCATCTACTAAATGGAAGTGTTGGTTTCTTTTCACTCCGAGTTAGTTGCATCACTATTGAGTAGTACTGTGGTGTGTACTATAGAGATGCAAACTGACAGAACGCGGTTAAAAATTGAAATCAACATTTTAAGTCAATGATTGCAGAGGATAGAATTGTTTATTCCACAAGTCTGGATTTAGTTTACGTTGTGGTCATGGAATAATTTCATTGGACAACTTTTCGTCCCATTGTTTAGCCCTAGGGTAATCAACAACCAGTTAGAACAGTTTATTGTCCACTGACCTAGCTGACTTTTCATATGGTTAATAAAGTATAAATATAATGCGTTTTTCTTTAATAAGTGTAGTTCGTTTCCAGTTCTCTTATCTTCTCTTATTTAATGACTTTAATTCATCATAACTTGAATATTTTGTTTTGTAATATATTCTAGTGACTTTATGCTCGTTACTACCATGTTACACTTCGCCAACATTGAGTCACAATCTATTCATATACCATAATTACTACCAATTATGCATCAACATTTTGTTCGCCCTACATACTAAGGTATATTAGATTTGTAGCATGTCTACTTGATGTGACTACCCAGTTTATATACATTTGACAAAGTATTGACGAAATAAAAACGGGTAAACTTAACGTTGACCTATTTATTGTTTTGGCTGTGCTCAAATAGCTCACTATACAGCTGAAAATTTGGTAACTTTTCAAAGTATCACAATATCTATTCTCGTTTGTGATTTCCGGATGATAAAGCTAATGAAGATTAATTGGCTTCACTTTTGGTATATGGGCAGCTTAAAAGGATGCCTTAATATTATTATTGTCAACGACTCAAAGTCACAATGGTGTTTGTAATGTCCTATCTGATGATTCCGCGATTACTTACCTCCTCTTTTTGCTTCGACTGTCATAAAACATGTTGGCACTCAGCATTGTTGCGTAACAGTATCACTGCTCTTGTAATAAAGACATCTTTACATAAAAGAGACTAAAAGCAATTCTGGATTATTATATCATATTGACACCATTGAGACCGGTGTGTGATCACGTGGGTTTTACTTGATTTTGGCCTATACACTCGGCTTTCAGACAGTGGATCACAGGTACGAGTCCCACTTCCCCTACTTTACAATGAACAACTAGGTAGTATGATCACTTCTCATATAATATGTCGTTATTACTCCGGTAAATCTGCACTAATTAAATGAGTTAAAACATGACCATTTTTCCCTGTATCCATTTCGGTTTCAAGCACTGATTATTTTCAGAAACAAACTCACATGATGCTAGACAAATAGTACTTGTCTTGATTTCAATACTTCCGGCAGTGCACGCTTTTCACTAAGTGCGTTGACGACACAGAGGTAGAACTCTCGCCAATCACTCATGTGGTCCGGGATTCGATCCCCAGCTGACGCACCTCTCTACCTCTCTAAGCCAGTAATAAAACTGGTAAAGAGGGAGAGTTGTTCATGAGGCTAGCAACCTCATCCCGTAAAATTAAATACCACTGCTATTGAAACTTAAACCTCTAGCCTGAAGCCCTGTGTTCCAATGAGAAAGTAAAAGAATGAAAAACACTTATCACTGCAGTTGCAATTCTACATTAAGAATGTCAGGTTTAATTGAAAGTACTATACTAAACATTTGTAGTAGTTTTATATTCCATGATCATAAATAAGATAATGAAAAATGTCACACCACATATCAGTTAAGTAGCAATTACTAGTTAAAGACTTCGTAGTTATGAAGGCGAAATTTTCTCCAGATATTAGTAGATTTCAAAGTTATAAAATTCTGATTGAGCACTTTATCTGGCTTTCCTATATTTTTCCATAAAGCTATTATTTAAAAGTTCAGTTTTTAGATATGTGATTGATTGTAGGATAGATTTTTTTCACAAACTGACACATCAAACCAACCAAAATCTTAGGTCACTAGATGGTTGTTTTGTGTTAGTTTGAAACATTTCACTGGTGCACATCCATGACCTATGGTAAACTACTGAATCTCAGCTGAGCAGTAAACATGATAGCTTCAAAACCTGCAAGTCAAAGGTTCAATCCCACCTTGAGTTACAAGGGTGTATTGTTGAACAGCCCTTCATTATGACAAAACGTATCTCCCGCTCTGCTGTTTTTTATTAATAATTTTTCGAGCTACGACGACTGGTAAAGAAATTCACCGTGAAGTGTGCTTAATTCTGATTAAAGATTGAAAACTACATTCAAATCAAACACTCCCATTAGAATTTAGAAAATTATGAGAACTTTAAGATTAATTTGTTGATTAGTACCATATGTTAAGCGTTGTAAGTGGGGAAAAGTCTTTGATTCTTTCTTGTCTTCCCTCTTCTATTCAATACACTGAAACTCTCATGCCTATATTCCTCTTCATAGAACTGAAAAGAAAAAGAACAAATATTATCATGGTATAACGAGAATTTGTCTCAATTTCTCATCTCTCTTTATTTGCATACAATCTATTATGTTCATAGTGTCAAGTCACAATAAAGAAAAAAGTCTTAACACTTTTCAATTTATCTGATAGAAATTAGTCGACCAGTGTAACATTTTAAAAATGACACCAAAGAGAAAATAGGAATTACACGAGATATTTGCTCGACAAATGTTCAAATTAATATGTTACATTCATATGCCTACAAATATTTGCCCTAATCAAGACTTATAACACAGAGTTTACTGGAGATAGACTTTGCATGACATCTTTCACTGTGAGAGTTGGTTGTTTTAATTTTTAAATAAAAATAAACTTTTTTTCTTTCCCCCTCCCCGCTCACATTAAAATGTTCACATATCCAATTAGAAAATCAAAATGACAAAAAGAAAAAGAATCAGGACAAGGCAGTACGTCGTCTTCAAACTATTCTACCAAACAATTCAACGATAACAGTATGTATGGACGATGCTACACAAACTTCATTAAGGGAGGAATTTACCTATGGAAACGTTATTAGACCGACAAACTTATCTTTTTCTCAAGACAATAAGGTTAGTTAAAATAAGAGTTTGTAGTATTAGGAGATAAAAATCAGATTTTTGTTTTCGTTTTCCACACATATATAGATATATGTCAGTAGGTACTTGACCACGGATTGATATCAGTTAGAGAACCAGTGAAAGCTAGGGAATACTGGACAATTGTTTCGTCCTTGTCTGGGGTTCTTCGTCAGCGCCTACCCATGATCGCCAACCATCCCCCTCCCCAGTGGATCGAACCAAGGGCTTTCTGGTTGCGAGGTATGGACGTTGACCATTCAGCCAGTGAGATGGAATCCAGTGTTTCATGCATTCTAACTCCTGTCAATTCGCGATTTCTTGCTTTCATTATAAACTGTTTCTTACAAATAAAGTTGCTTTTTAAAATAGATTTTAGAAAATACAGCAAGACGGTAGAAGGGTAAATATTATCTCTGAGAATAAGAAGCCGAAGAGAAATTAAAGTGAACTTAAGATATGTGTTATAAATTGTTTGTTCGATCACTTAATTTCAGGTGAATTGTGGCGAAAAGAATGTAAACTAACTATCGACAAAAATTAAGCCTCCAGTATTAAACTTTGTCACTTTATAGTGATTATATTAACCAAACGATTATAACAATATTTCATTCCTAGGTAGTGTTTTCCCGTAACTTGAATATTTCTATGGTTATTTCGGAATAAAAATAATTAGAACAAGATATACAAGCCAAAAATATTGTTTTCACTTAGATCTTCTTCAGGCTTTACTCTAACTTACATAGCTTTATACATAAAAAAAATTTAACCAATGACGGTGATTTTGTGGATCAAATAATAATAATGTTTTCAATGTCGGTAATAACGATGATTATAATGATAACAAATTATTGATAATAAGGTTTATGGACGTGGCGATAAGAATAACGAAGGCAGTAATGTGTGTATATGTAGAAAATTCAATAAATAAATTAGGTCAAATCTTAAAAGTTATGTAATACTAAAGGTGAAGTGGAGAGATAATCAGAGTTTAAATCAATATCATAAAAGTACGAAGGAAATGGAAAGTAAGAAAGAGTGGGAGGGTTTTGATTAGAATTTACCCAGGCCAAGTGAGAGACAAAGGCAGAACAAACTTCTTTTGAATGCAAAGATTAGGACTGTCTTCTCGAATTGATTCCGACAACTTATGCTATGTGCAAAAGGCAGGTTTGCATTCCGTTTCAATGGATTGTTATAAATAGCTTTGAAGGCAATGCTTCTGCCCACTTGTTGACCACTATCATTAATCAAATGAGTCAAAACAGAACTTCTTATAGATTTTATTTGGCCTTTTATGAACCATGAATAGTTAGAGCTAAAGATTGTTTTCAATAAATTATTCTTCAGTTGCTACAATCATAAATCCATTGATTTAAGTATACAATAGCCAGGAAAGGCAAATTAGAATCATATTAGAAAGTATGTTGTGGAACAAGTATAAGATGGGATGGAACAACATTCAATTATTTTTGAACATGGATGGTTGATGAGTACATGAGATAAAATGAGATGAAATAGTTTATTGATATATATAGTGCAAAAGTAGAGGTTTCAAGGATGAGTGGGATAAGTGGTGTGTGAGACAATATGAATACTACCAAAAAATAAACCAACAAATGGGACAGACTAGGAGTAAGTTCAAGGGTGAAAATAACGACAATAGTAATGATTGTGAAATAGTAAAGAAGATATAGCGTAAACTCGAAAGTACTATTGGTGAATGATTATCAATTGGTAATGGATAATAATAATTTAGCATAATAATTATGAATCTGAAAAAGTGAACTACATAAACATTCTAAATAACTTCATGGTGTCATTTGATGTAACCTCCCTAAGCACAATGATTCCAATCAATGAAACTATTGAGATCATTTGTCAGCAGTTCGATCTTCTCCCACTCCCAGAGTCGGAATTCAAACGCCTACTGCTTATGTGTACCATGGATGTGCAATTCCAATTTGACGACATTTTTTACCATCAAATAGATTGTGTAACTATGGGCAGTCCACTTGGCACTGTTTTAGCAGATATATTCATGTCAAACCTTTAAAGAACAAAGTTGAAGCATGCAATCGACGAAACATCTTCCTACTGTCGATATGTTGATTACACATTTATAGTGTGCAAAAATGAAAGTCATACTTCACACTTACTAAGATTATTCAATGATGCACACGCCAATATTGAGTTCACTATGGAACATGAAAGTGACGGAAAGTTTCACTTGCTCGACATCCCCATGGAACGCCTAGAAGACGGTAGTCTTCAAAAGTCAATTTATCGAAAGCCTATATAGAAAGGAAAATACTTGCATTTTAATAGGTTTTGTCCAAATAGCTTTAAACGTGGTCTATTTAAGACTCTGTACTACAGAGCGAGGAGAATATACTCTATAGAGGAACTAGAGGAGGGGTTTGAGTTCCTTGAAAAGATATTGAAGAGCAGTGGGTATCCTCAAAGGTTCATCAACAAGTATGGAAGATCTGAAGTCACAAATGTAAAACAAGTCACAGTGGGGAAAAAAGCCAGTCTACCTTCAGCTTGATTATAAAGGTGAAAACATTGCAGCGATGTTCAACAGAAGGCTGAGTACATCACTAGCCATAGGCTATCCTGCAGCTAAGCTCGTTCCCGTCTATCGAACAACTTGCTCTTTGGTGCAATCAAAAATCGATAGATATCCTTTTCATGTTAACTCCAACTGTTTGTACAAATTTACATGTATCTGCGGAAGCAGTTACATTGGAAGGACAGAAAGAAGGACATATCTACGATTTTCTGAACATTTACCAAAAAGCTTACGTATAAAGGGAACAAGTGCTTACAACAGTGCCATCGCCAGACATCTCCTCGACACGGGTCATGAGGTGGACGTCGAAAAGTCGTTCAAAATAATGAATAGGCAAAAGAGCTCAATTCTCCTTTAAGTTTGCTGAAGCCATTTCCATCAAGCTCCTGAAACCTGATTTATGCGTCCAGAAAGAAGCGGTTATCAGTCTTTCTTTGCCCTGGTAACTGGATATTTTTCATCTCTCTTTCTTCCGAATGCGAAATGCTAAAAGTTTCTATTGTGCATGATTATTATTGTTCGGAATAGTGGTTAATATTGCATATTTATATATGTATATATTTTTAGTGAATGCGTATATTGATCGATTGATTTTTGTTTAAAATGAACTCTGTGCAAGTATGTTAAAATTGTTGTTGTAGATATATTTAATAATGTCTTTGCCAAGTGAGCAGCTGACGAGAAGGCAACGAAATAAAAAATGGTATCATTTTATTCTGCTAAAACTGTAGTTCTTGCTTTGTTCAAATTAATTAAGGGGAACAAATGCATGAAATTTATAATGGATTTAGTGAATTGAGACGAATAGGATTTTGTAAATATGATAATAAGTCAGAGAAGCATTACTTAAGCCTAAGGTAATAGAGATCGTGAGAAAGGTCATAAAATCGTTTTAAAAGTTCAGATGTGAACATTTGTCAATGAAACAAGGGACCATGCATATTCAAAACTAACTAACTGATTACTGTTCCATCCTATCTTCTACTTGTTCCACAACACACTTTCTAATATGATTCTAATTTGCCTTTAATAGCTATTGTATACTTAAATTAATGGATTTATAATTGTAGAACCTGACGAAGAATTTACTGAAACCACAATTGTTCTCATTAAATTATCACTTCTCATATAAAGGATTCTAGAAGATATAGATTTCCCACATGATTTGTGTTTCATTTAATACAAACTCAAAGATTTACAAGCAAACACCAGCAGGTTTGCAGAACAGATAGGAGGCAATACGGGTTAACACAAAGAAGATATAGGCGATGAAGATGTGCTGGTGGCGTTCGGTTAGGACGCTCGTTGACCATGCACATGCAGCGGGGACCGGACCTTGGCCGATCCATAATAGATATCAATGGTCGACCTGCTAAATTTGGCCTACGGGTATGAAATGCTGAAAATTCTAGAGTTGTACCAAAATACTGTGTGGAATCAAGCTATAATAAAAGAAATTTCTTAAAAATAATATATTATCGCCTACAATTTTTACTTAAAAGTAAAATTATGAAATAATGTGTGATGATTTAGATGAAAAGTGAAAATCTCTGTTATGACAGGATTCAAAGCAAACGCAAACCTTTATTATTATTTTTTTTAACTTAATCACTCATTAGATCAGTGGATGTCTGCTAATTCAAAATTATTCATTCCATAATACTCCGACTGTAAATTATGAAATAATTTTATTTTAAATAAAAGGGAATACACTATTGAAAACGACTATAGAAAGCAACTATAGAAAGATATGCAAGAGGGTTATTAGTCGGTAATCTTTAGTAGGCGTATCGTTTTGATGTGGATAGAAATAAAATATATCTCGGTGACAAATATTTCCTGTGTTATTTTTTTTCTTTCTCGGTAATTAATGACAAATTTTAAAACTTTTAGTTATTGTTTATTCTTTTTTTTAAAAAACAATCCTAACTATAAAATATAAAAGTGAACTTTTAAAAATTAGGTTTGAATAGAAAATTTTTATCAACTAGAATATTGATAGGAAAAAATACATTTTCACAAATATATACTACAATAATAATTCACTTTCCTGGATGACGAAGATTTGAATACAGTTGTATCAATTAAAACCACACAGCTTGGAAACTTGAGTTTTATAGTTCCTTTCTTTATTCTTTCCTATTCGTTGTCGTAGGGGTACTAGAATCCCCCAGATGTCTCTGTGAGAGGTGTTAAATCATTCCTATTATACATGTTTGCAGTTGATTCAATAAACAAAGCTTCTGTTATCAACATCTGCCTTCACTTTGTTAGATTCGATATGAAAACTGTCATCTTATCTCATCCTATTGTGTTTTTTTATTATTATTGTTCCCTTGGGTTCCTAGTGGAACACAGGGCTTCAGCTGCACGCCTCTACGTGCTTCTGTCTTCCTTCTGCTGTACTCTCCACCTGCAT